GGACATGTCCAGAGGACCAGATTGAACTTTTTTAGATTTTTCTACCTGGATTATTGAGCAGCATCAGGATATTTGTTGAACAATAGTAACAGTTACACAAGACGTCCGTTGTAACAAGTGACCTCGTCAACCGTTTCATGGTGTCTCGTTGGAGGAAGATTACTGCATGTGTCTTTTGTTCGGGGTTGTATTGCCGGTATGTACTGAAGGATTAGTTTTGTAACTTTGTTTTTGTGTTAAATGTAGCCCACTAATACATTATGTAACTGTGAAATGAGGTTTTCTTTGTTATGCAAATCACCTGTGATTTGTGAGTTTGTCCAAAATGGCGTCGGTAGTGTAGGTTCATACATATAGAAATATTTAGGATGTGGTTCAGCAGAAATCCAGTATAAAAGTGTATTTCATGCTGTTCATATTTGCATCTTAATTGCACTGTCTTGTTTTCAGTTTCACCCCCTTGAATGTTATAAACTCTGCTGACAACCGTCTTCAGTCTCCAGAGTTGTGATATGAGAAAGGTGTTAAATAGTCTTTGCTTCAGACATGCACCAGTAACAGCACAAGCAAGTACCCTCTATACTAGAAATAATCCGTTTTACCTCGTATTTTGTGATTTTAATCACTTTTTCTAGTCTTTTTATTTTAATTAATTGTGCTTTTGACTATTAGGCCATCTGTAAACTTTGAACACATTTTGTTCAATGTCATGCCTTCCTCTGTTCCACTTCTCGGTGTTGTCTGTCACTGTTAAATATTGATCATTTTTCATTACAAACATAAATGCAATGCTCTTTTGAGCTGCGTGTGTTGATTTCAACTCTTTAAACTTAAACTTTGACTTTTTTATTTATTTAAGAAACTGTCCTCATCATGGCTTTTACAACGTGCTTTCTTTCATGCGTGTGTGTTTTCAACTCATTCTGGTAATTTTTTGTCATCAGAATCAGAATAAACTTTATTATCATTGCACCGAGACACAACGAGAACACAACAGTTCAGTAACTTTCCATAACGAGGGCAGATGCTTCATTCTGTTTATTTCTTCAACTTGTTTATCAGACGTCTGGGCACCATTTAACACGCCAATCACTGCCAGTCACTAATCCACCAATAACCCCCACCCCCCATGCAATGTTTTTCCCAGTGGCATATGGGGGAGACAAGTGAGTTAATTGGCATACATACCATATTTAGTCCCCCCCCCCCCACCCACACACACACACACACACTTTTCTAAGTGAGCAGCAAATGATGAGCAGTATTTCTCTTGTCTCTGTTTTAAAGTTTAGTAAAATCTTGTTTTTAAAGTAAATTTAATGTCTCTCTACGTGTAACATTTTTCTCTTCATTTTGAATTAAATCATTAAGTGTACTGCTTTTTGAAGCAAAATTAAATATTTTAATTTAGTTCAAAGTAACTTTTTGTCTTGTTTTTTTCAAGGCGATGCAGACATGTGCTCCCCAGGGGAGGGGTGCGGGTGAGGGGGGGTCCCAGCTCAGTCGCTTCACACATTTAAACTTTTTGAGACACATTTTTCATGTTTGTGCTTGGATTTGAGACGATCTGTGTGTTATTTTTGATTTGGTGTCTAGATTTTCAGACCCTTGTGTTTCCTGCTCTCCGGTGTTTTCCCTCCTTGTTGGCAGCACCTGTCTCAAGTTATCATCACCCCAGGTGTTTGTCGTTACGTCTCGTTAGTTTCCTATATATTCAGCGCAGGGCTGGAGTGTGACTCATTCTCAGCCCTGCAGATTCATGCCTCAGACTGGACCACTTTAGATCACAACGTATTATTAAAATCATGTAATTAGAACACGACACCTTAAGTCTACAATAGCACACTGTTCTGTAAATCCTTGTGATTCAGTGCATTTTCTAAAATATTTAAAATTCTGTGTATAGGCCTATTTCTAGTTTCAAGTCATGTGACTTTGTTTTTTCCTCAACACGAGTGCACATCTCCAATATTCTCTGCAAGACAGCAATCTCAGAATCTATTTTCTATTTTAATAAGTGTTCACATATATTCAAACCTTAAGAATGAGAAATTAATGCAAATATTAAATAAAAAAGATGTTACACTATTGTTTTTTCCTCTACAAGGAAACCGTTCCATCACAACTTTAAATTTCCTATAAATGAGAACATGAGTTAAAGCAGTGGTTCCCAACCTATTTTCCTTTAGGACCCCCCCCCCCCCCCCCCCCTAGTCAATCTGAGACCCCCCCCCCCCAATCCCTCGCTACTCCTCTCTCCCAAAAGACTCAGATTAATCTCTTCATCAAAGTGATACAAGAATAAAGTGAATATAAGTAATAGTAGTTAAATATAGAATAAAGTAAAGTTGCATCTTGGCCAAAGGTGAAATAAAAATCTTTGTTCTCAGAAAAGTTGTTTCAGGACCTTCAATAAACTTATGTACACATCAAAGCACACAAGACAGATTCAGGAATCGTCTTTGTTTTCCAGATTTCACATTTTATTATTACCTTAAAACATACTCGGACAACATTTGATGTATCGTTGAATTTTTTAAAATTGTTTATTGGGACATCCATGTTTAGAAGTCATCGTAGCGTCTGTTGGAAACACAAAACCTAGCACAGTTAGGGTTTATTGTAATGTGTGGGCATCACAGCACAAAAGTTAGACTACTAACCTGCATCCATGGCACAGAAGTGGCTGCAGTACCCAGGATTAATAGGAGAGCCACTTCTCTGCAGAAGGGAAACATGACTGCTGCAAACATCCATGTCACAAACTACTTTATGTGATTCACCCATGTCTTCTTGGAAACCTGCACAGGAACAGGAGGCCCACGAAAGGATTTTGCAACTGCATATACTCTGTCTGTTCCATCTAAACACTGCACTTGTAAATGGTGTGTAGTGGTTATGTCTTCAGCATGACTCTGCATGCGTCTTCTCATAATGTGCTTTTTTTTTTCACGTTTTTTCTTAACTGTCAAATTACAATGAGGACACTGAGAACCAAGTGCTTTAATATGACGTTCTTTTTTGTATACGTCTTTGTGCAGTAACAATGAAAGTGTGTTTGCCTTTCCACCACAGCCGTATATTATGTAGTCTGTAAAGAACAAAACACAAAGAGCAATGTAGATTAAAAAAATCCACAATGACTCGTAAGTGGTAATAGAGAAATGTCAATAATGTAGCATGACATCTATGATTGATTGAGGTGAGCTTGTGACTGGCAAGATGTTCTGCCATCTTTGGATATCCAGCTGGTTTGTGTAACTCAGGGGACAAAAGGGACACTTATAGTTTTCATGGATGCAGACAAGTCGAGGACTTTCATCTCTTTCCGTTCACTGTTATGTGCTGAATAAAGTATTAATAAAAAATTAAAAAAATTGTAAGAATATATGAAAATAACACATAATACAGTGTTAAAAACTTTGATTAATGGCATAGCAATAATAAAGGACAAATCGACTTGAAATTAATTTGAAATTGACTTTAAAAATTAAGATATTTCTTATAAATTCATAATACATGATATGATTGCAAATATTTTCTTAGATGAATCGCTTTGACACTGCAATTACACAACAACCACAAAATGTTGAGTGTGTTTTCAATTGAGATTTATTAGAAAATATTTATTATATTTAATATCAACCTTGTGTATTAGTTTGTCACAGCACAATTTGTCCTGGAAGCAGAATCCATACTGTCAGTTCACTTGTACATGCGCTAAAAGAATCACTTCTGGAGGGTTTTTTTTTCTTCTTCTATTTCATTGTAATCTTATAAATAGAATATTATTTAAAGATAATAAAAAAATACAGACACAAATAGTTCAATTAAATTTCTCTAGACTGCATTGACATCTATATATATATATATATATATATATATATATATATATATATATATAT